TCCATGTATATGGTAAGTGTTTGAATTATTTATGGCACTTCTTCCTGTAACCCGGCTGTAGGAAGAGTAGATGTGCTTATAGGACTTTTGGCAAAGTATTTGAACAAACAGGCAGTCTAAGAGGGTAGTGTCTGAGAGCCTCGGGCAAAGATTAATATCTCTGTACCAGGACAATACTGTCTGTACAGTCTTTGTCTCCTGCTGTCAGATGTTTTCATATCTTTTCATACAAAAAAAATAGTCAAATAGTCGTAGCACCTTCTTCAGGGCAGGTTCTTAGTGCCAGGATTTTCTAATAACAGATGAGTTTTTAAGAGCTTTTGCATTGTTTTAAATTGCTTTTCTTCTTTGGTTCATGAGTGCTTACAACTTCTGATAGAAAAAAAGAAGCAATTTCTTAATGCCTACAGATAATGTTAACGTGTAAAATACATTTTTTTTAATTTTCTTCACCGTGGTATGTGTGTATTATTTTTTGAGGGGGTATTTTTTCTTTAGAACAGTTCACCTCATGTTAGTTATTCTTCACATATCCCCATGAAGATGCCACACACGTGGCATTACACAGTATTTTTAGCATAACCAACAAATATAGCAGAGACCAAAACGAGTACCCTTTTAGAAACCCGAGCACCTGCAAGACAGCGTGCTGCAGTTCCTGGAGAAACAAGGTAGACCTGATTTCATGCGTCTTCATTTCACTTATTCTGGCAGTGATGGCTCTTTAGCTGTGTGCTTGTCATTTTTTGTCTGCTTGGAAAGTCACAGTGACAAATATTGGAGACACCAGAAAGCATACCTTAGAGCTGATGGTTTCTTGGTCATGCCAGGGAATCACAGTCTCCACAAACCATCCCGTTAAGCTCCTTTTGGTTAAAAAGAGGAAACTTTTCCCCAGAAGCTGCAGCAATTCAAACACACGCCCCTTACTTTGCCAAGCGTGCGCCGTTCTGATCTGCCAGGGATTGCCTGGATGCTGCATGGTCCCCTTTTGGTAACGGTGCACCACGTGAGGTCGCTTCTAACCAAGACTTTTAACCTGCCTCTGGCAAACCAGCCCTTACGTGACCTCCTGCTTTGTGTTGTGCTAAGGCTGCATTGTGCATCCCGCCTTCTGGCTGAGAACAGCGTCCAAGAGAGAAGGTTTTTATTAAAAATATTTTCCCAGAAACTTCTGTTTGAAAGCCAGCTCTCATGCATTCCTAGTAACTTACTTTTTCCTCATTTCTTTTGGGACTTGGTAATGCTGCAAGAAATGAATATCGCCTGGAATTCAGGGTCTTCAGCACCGATCTTTCCCTGATGGAAAGCTTTCATTCCTGTTGCCAGCACTCAGATAATTACACTGAGGAAAAGGTAGATGGGATGTAGTAGAACATGCTGATGTGATGTGAGAAGGAGGGGGTTGAAGGTATGAAATAGGAGTACTGGAGAAGCTGGTAAAAGTTAGGGAAAGCCAGGTATATAGAAGAGAGAAGAATGGGGCAGTAGAAGAAAGCAAATGACAGGCTGTGTTTAGAGGGAGGAATTTAATAAAATCTGTACCCAGTAAATTAGCTTTAGTGTCTAGCCTAGAGAAATGTTATCTTTGAGCTTGGATTTTAACTTCTGTGATGACAACTGAACATGGAGAGGAGGGGACAGCTGAGCAAAACCCACCCAGAATGAATCCTCAGAGCCCCAGAGGCACCAGGTGCCATCTGGACGATGGTACCAACTTCTTCCAGTGTTGGCTCTTTGGGTCAGCAGCACAGCTTGTGCATGCAGCAGCTGTGGGGTTCAGAGCTCAGGTTTCCCAGCTCAGATCAGAGCAATCTGTGTGGATGTGCATCTGCTGAGAGAGTATAAATGCCAAAGGATTACTGGCTGTCGATGATAGCTACCTCTCTTCTCCATGTAGTTGTCTTCCTACAGGACTTCATTTTGAGCTACAGCTGTGTTTAGGCAAGAAACTGAATCATAACCATATTTTAAGCTGTTAAGATGTCTCCCATTAGGAATCTTCTGTCACCTGGCATGTGTGAATGAACCTCACCTTGAGAGGGCTTTCTGCAGGATGAGAAGCATCTTCTGTAGCGGTCCTTGATGTTATGAATAGAGAACGCTTTGCTTGTTGTAGCCTGCTTTTTAACTGTTCAATCTTGTGCTCTTTCTTCAGAGGATGTGCTGAGTAAAGATACTGGGGAGTGTGCAATATGCCTGGAAGAGCTGCAGCAAGGAGATACTATAGCACGGCTGCCTTGCCTCTGCATATATCATAAAGGGCAAGTATTCAAGTATTCCTCACGGCGTAGATAGAATCCCAGAAGGTCACGTTTATGGGGTAACTTCACTGAAACCTAATTGCCTTTTACACTTCAAACAAGCAAAAAATGAACAACGACAACCCTAAAGATGAAGGTGGGAGAGAGAGTGCATTTTAAACCTGTTTCATACTTACTGTCACAAATGCCTGTAACTACAGGAAGTAAGATGTCAATGAATGATGTAAGTAAATCAATAGCCTTCAAATCATGAAGGTTGGAGAAGCCCTCCAAGATCACCTGGTCCAACCATCTCCCTACCACCAATGTTACCACTAAACCATGTCCCCAAGCACCACGTCCAACCTTGCCTTGAACACCCCCAGGGATGGTGACTCCACCACCTCCCTGGGCAACCCGTCTCAGTGCCTGGCTGATGGAAGCCCACAAGCCATCATCAGAGCCATGTATGCATTTCAGTAAGAAGCAAGAGGTTGAGGATGGGTATCCATTTCCAGATAGTCCCATGGGACACGTCAGTGACTCGCTGTGATCCCAGACACTTTTCTGCTCCCCATGGTTTTCTGCGGGTTTCAGGCAAGGAAGGGCCTCATCTCTACAGGCACCACCCGACACAAAGCTGGCAGCGGCCCCAGGGAAGGTGCAGCAGGAGGTGTGACACCTCCCACCCAGCTGAAGCTGACCTTCACCCACTTGCCATGGGAACGCACAAACTCCCCACTGCACACAGGGTGGGTTGGCTGCTGGGCCAACACAAACAGCCCAGCAGCATTGCCCTGTCTGTGCCGGGGAGAAGAGAACCAGCCCGGGCTGAGTGTGAATAGTGGGACCCGTTCTGGGGACAGAGGAGTCCTGCCATGAGGTGGGCACCTCACCAGAGACCTCCTAGCCATAGGCATCCTCCACAGAATAAGTCACAAATGCTTGCTCAAATGTTTTGTCAACGCAGTTCTGGACACCAAATTCGTAATTTCAAAAGGAAGCGTCCATTTCCCACAAAATAAATAACTAGATAGATAGATAAAAGAAAGTTGGGTTTCTGGTTAAGTCTGAGCAATCCCAAAGTGATTAAAGAGTTTCTCATTTTAGTTGACAAATTGAAAATGTTCAGGAAATTTGGAGAACTGAAACAAACAAAAAAAGTTTCGGATGGTTGACTAAATAATTGGTGAAATACTTCCCTAGCAGATTTTAACACTTAAGATATTTAACTATTCAACAGTGTTTAATATCCAAGTACAACTGTGGTCTAGGGTTATAAAGTTTTCAAGGAACGTTTAAATATATTCTTTGCGAATACATAGATTGTGTACATGGATGTGTGCATATACATGTAATTGTGTTAATATAAAATCCTACTATTTGTGTAAATCATGAAATGCCTATTAATACACATTTATTACTGCTAAATGTTACTGTGGTATTCACGTCAATTGTTTTCATTTTTGTCTTGCATCCAACAGCTGCATAGATGAATGGTTTGAAGTAAATAGATCTTGCCCTGAGCATCCATCAGATTAAGAGAAGATTCATGTTTTTAGGTAATATTTCTTTTCAGACGTGTACATTTCAACAACAAATATTTTGATTATCTGAAATAACTCTTGATGCTATTTTCTTAATTTGTCAATTTGCTACTGTGTCTCAGAACAGCAACATTAATCAGTAAGCAATGACGTATATTACGATATGTAAAAGGTTTCTGCATCCTTATATGGTGTGGTCTGAAATGGTGTATTTCATTTTTAGTACTGGAAAGTGGCAAGTCAGTGCCAATGAAGTTTTAGCATTAACTTCTAAAGAGTATTTTTTCCATGGAAATAAAACAAGATCAAAATAATACAATCGTTTAATTTTGGATTGTTCCGCAAGTACTGGCATTTATTTCTGACAGAAAACTTTTGGAATCATAAAAGAAAAAAAAAAAAGTTGAAATTAGGTATTTTCAAAACCACTTTCATTTTAATGCATTCCAGAATGTTTTCTTTTTTTAAAAAAAAAAAAAAAAAGTTAACATGTTCCCATCCATCCCATCCCAGAGAGGTTCACATTTTTCCAGCTTATGTTTGGTGTTAATCATTTCAGATCTGCAATCAGTGTCAAAGGTTTAAAGGATAGGTTTATTCTTTCAGTTGACTAGTTCTAAATCTTTATCTTGCATTAAACTATTGCCCTCAAGCATTGCAAAACACCAACACTCATCATAATTCTTAAAGGAATGGATATCTGGAATTCTGGTTAGCAAGTTAAGGTTTGTTTTTGTTATTCTGCTAGAGATTTAGGGGGAAAAAAAGTCTGAAAACCTCATTGTTGGCATTTATCTGTTCACTTGTTTCACCTTGCTTCACAAGTCTATGTTGCAGGTCACATTGCAGCGCTATGTTCATTGAAAGGGTAGCAGAGAAAACATGAGGGATCCTGCTACAGGGATGATTACTTTAACCTCAGGGCCTATGTTAGCCGAAATAAATAAATGCATTTCCTGTGTTGTCCCCAACAAATGAATGGTGAAAGAAGCCCACATACTGCTTATGGGCATGTTTGACTCTTCAGATGTTCAGATGTTCATGGATGTTCATGTTAACCCCCTTTTTTTTTTTTCACAGCAGAGATGGTGATAATTGGGGGTTTTAGGAAAAAGGGGAAGGAAAACACAGTGTTTGTGTTCATGCTGTTTCTGTGTGCTATATATTGAAGTAGCTGAAATGCTGATACTTTGTCTTCTGCTTTTTCAACAGCTGCTTCCACTGATCAGAAAACATCGGAGATCTGCGGTTCCCTTGCTGAACACAGCGTGCCTGGCTTGAGACTTAACTGTTCTTTGTGGCTGAAAGAGGCAAAGATGGACAGCGACATGGAAAAAGCATTGCAGACACCAGTAGTGCTCAGTATACCAAACACTCATGCAAAGGACACACAGGGATTTTGAAAATGCTGCACATTCTGTAACAATCTACTCCCCACAGACGTTATTGACACTCTTTTGTATTGAAGGCCAAAGTTCCTAATTTCAGCCCAACCTCTGGTTCTGTGAAGAAGCGGGTTATTGGACACGTTTCCTGCTGCCTCAAGTGGAAGCCGAGACGTTCGATACGTGCTCTCTGAGACCCTTGCAGGAGGGTGGCCCCATTTTCAAATGGGAACGTTTTCACCTTCTCGTTGGCTGAAGAAGAGTAAATGGCAAATTAAATGTAATCTAACAGTGTGACCTTATTTACTGAATTCACACCCTGTTTTATGTTCTTCACTTTTACAAGAACAGAAAACAAACTTCTCTGCATAGGAATACTATATTTCAAAATTTTGTAACTAAACCTTTGTCACAATGCAGTCCAAAGAGTAAAACTGGGACAGGTAACTAATTTATATTGATCAAACTATAGGGATTGTTGAAATCTGCACATCGTATTGCTATTTAAGTAACTAAAACTTCTCTTTTACTGCTTGTGAGTAAAAACAAAACAAAAAAAAATGCAGCAAAGCAAAATCTTACAGCTATGCAACTTTTTTTTAAATAGGAAAAAAGAAGAATTACCAATTTTAAGTGCTGCCAGTTAAGGTAATTTGTTTAACGGGTATTTTTTTAAAAATGTTTCAGGTAATTATTTTATTGTACTACTCTCATCTCCAGGCTGCCTCCTGAGGTGGAAATGAATAACTACAAATGTGGGCACAGCAAGAATGTTGTTTTTTTAATAGGCATGGGTGAGATAACATCGAGGTGGGAATTGTGTTTAATTTTTAAAACACGTACGTGCAAGTTTTTCTTTGTTTCCTTGTTTGAATGTTTTATCTGATGGCAGGATTTGTAGTACTTTGCATCTAAACCATTGGTCTCTTCATGTGGAGGCTAGCATTTGACAGTGTGGTTTTTTGTTCTTTTTTTTTTTTAAAGGCACCTGCATTTGTTTAATTTATTATTATTTTACTGTATTATATTAGAATAACCAGGGCTCCATGAAACACCGGTTGTCTCTGAGGGGTACACCAAGTAAAACTGTGGTTAAGTATTAGTTCCCGTAAGGTATTACAGTTCAAAATAAAAAAAGACAAAAAAAAAAAAGACAAAAAACTGGAACAGATATCAGGGCTTAGAAGAGTACTTTTTATATCAAGAATTAATCCTAGTAGTATCTGAACTTCACAGTACAGGGAAGAGTTTATGAATATTTATTCCTGACAGCAGTTTTAGTGGGTTTCAGTAGCGAAAATAAATTGCACACTTCAAACGTTTTTCTTGTACATACATAATTCTGCTGTTCTTCTTCTGTTTAAATACGTATTTCTCGCTGTTGCTACTGTGATTCATATCAAAAAGGGCAAAGAGCAGGAGCAACTGCTGCTATCCAGGAGAACGAGTGCAGTGCATGTTACTCGGCTCTCCCGTCTCGCTTGCAGAGCAATTCTTTCCTGGATAACAGCTTTCCCTGGATGTTGCACTGTAAAATGCCATTGTTATGCTGCAAATCTAAAGGAGTCCAAACTAGATCATTTCCCTAATTGACGGTGCAGTTTCTACGTTTTTGGGCTTGCATCACTGGTTTCGGCTGAACCTGTAGCTGCGGGGCCCTGCTGTAGTCTCTTTTCCAGCGGGAGCAGAGCCGTTTTGTCACAACTCCCAATCCTGTAGTCACACCACGTGTACAGTAGTTCCCTGTACAGATTCCCTTTTAGCCGAGAGTCATTGTGTCGCCTCGTCTTGTCACGGGGGCTGGGGGGTAGGAGGGGTTACAGCACCTGTAGTGCTCAAGCAGCGGTGTTGCCTGCAGGCCCACTTTTCCAATGTTTTATATCCCTGCTGTTTTCCGTGAGGAAAGCTTCCTCGTTCACGTTGATCTGATGTTTGCTGTTGGCTTCACGCCTACGGAAACTCACCTGTAATATGTAGAGCGGGTAGCTTAGCGTGTTGGTGTCCTGTGCTCCAAGGTCATAGGTAGTCTTTGGCCGGGGGATTAAGTAGATAAATATTATAAACCTGTTTACAACTTCAGCTTGGTTTGGGTAGTTCATGTTTCTAGTTCATTCGCTGCTGTTTTGGGCAGCTGGATTTCCTGTGTTTGGATGCAAGGAGGTGGTGCAAAGACCCCGCAGCTCTCGCTGCTGTCCACTCGCGGTCGCGTCGACGCGGGGTGTTGCAGGCAGGAGCCGCAGTTTGAGGAACTGATACGGGGCCAGTCTTAGATGCTGGTTTTGCGTTCTTGGTATTTCTAAATTCCTTCTGAAAGGCTTCGGTAGGTTTTCTTCTCTCCAAACCTGTAATAGAGACTGAGCCAGGAATGACCCTGGAAGCATGGGACCGATGCTTGGGTTTGAAACCGCCTGTGGACATTCACCTTCGTAAGCTTTCTGCTACCGGCTGCGTTGGCCAGTTGGAGGCAACCATGCTGTAGACGTAGCTGAAATAACAGGCAACACCTTCATATTAAAAACATCCTCACAGCGGTCCCGAGTCCTTGCCCTTCAGAAGGGGAAAACAAACACCGAACAAGTCCTGTGTCTCAGTCAAGGAACCCCACACCTGTCCACGAGAAGCAATAACTTTAAATCACGGTGCGGTATGCTTCTTTGTCTTTAAATACATTGAGATTGCCAATCCTGTGCTGTTCCGGAGTGTTTTCTGTCATCTGGCCTACATTTTCCCCAAGCACATAAGGGTGTGAAATGATTCCCATACTCAGGTCTGCCACAAACATGCTGCTTGCCGCAAGGGGAACGGTAGACTCGACGCTGTTTTGAAACGTGAGGTTTTTCTGAGCTTGTCACGTATCCGTGTTATCTTGAGCAGCAACTCGTGTTTGGAAGCTCCTAGTGGAGGTGGCTGTGATTTGGTTTGTAGGTACCTGCCCTCCGTACAACGCCGAGAGAGCCGTGCTACTGGTGGCACAGGGCTCTCTCTAATAACATTTTCCTTTGGAAGTAGTCAGCTGAGTTTCTTTCGACATGTTTTGTTAGGTGGTGAGTTCAGTGGGAAAAGGAAAAAAAAAATAATATGAAGCACACTGTAAATTCGTGGTATTTTATTTTGGGGAAGAAGAAAGCGTAAGACAGATGGTCTTATTTGTAATCAATTTAATTTTCATATTCCAGGGTAAGTGTACTGCAGTAAATTGAAACGGAAAATGTGTAAGTAATGTACAGAGATGTGGGTGGGTACTTGTGACCTTTCTTTTCTCTCCATGCTCCTCCCCCTTCATGATGTAAAGGGGTTTGTATGACTTAAACAATCTCCAAAAGTGGGAAAGATCATTTTTAGTCAGCAATGTGGGTCTTTGTGCTGGTGTTTTTGGACCTGCTGAGGTCCAAAAACATACACTGGGGAATGCAGAAATGCCACCGTGGGATCTTGCAGCTCACTCTGCCAGGGGAAGACTGTCTCAGTTCTCGATGAGTGTTATATTTGCTACTCCACTTTCCACCCCGCCAAGCTTAAAAGCCATTTTAGTGTAAATTTCTTCCCTTCTTCATAGCTGAAGGCGTGCTACGCCATATCTCCATTGGAAATCCTTTCTTTGGCACCAGCAAAATTAGTGTAAGCTCCTGTGGTTGAAAGAGGAGGGCTCGTTATGGGTTTTGCTACAAACCAGCCAAACATTTCTTTTTTTTTCCCAGCATCATCAGCTTGTACCACTTAACCTTTTGTCACTCAAAATAATCTGTGAGAGAAACAGAGCTGTGTCCAGTGTTTGTTTCCTGAATGTAAAACCAATGCGATGCTTACCCAGTATAAATTGTTTCTAAAATCAAGTTGAGCATCGTTTAGCCAACTGGGGAGGAACAAAACAAAGTCTCAACTCTCTCTGGTTGCGTTTGGTTATCTTCTGAGCACTGCCCAACCCACTGTAAAATGTTCTGGAAAGTAATTCCTTGCTTAAATGCGTCAGAGCTGATGATGGGGCAAACCGTAAAACGACCTCGTTGTACATACAGCGTGTCCAGTTGCTGAAGACTTGCTCAGATAAAGCGTTGCGGGAATAGCCTGCACCTGAAAAGGGTTGGACGTGGCTCTGGCTTTGATCTAATAGGTTGCCAGTGTACAATAACTGGAAGGCAGCAAGCCAGCTAGCTGCCGATCCTTCTGGCAGCTTTTAATCTATTTATGTTTGTTTGAGAGACTTTTGCCCTTGAGTGTGCTTTGGCAAAGATTTTGCAACGATAAGTAGGATTTGCTCGATACTGGCAGAGTTTCAAATGTAAGTAACCCCATGTTGCAAGTACATAATCTGTTGCTGAATCCTGTTCCTCTTGTTTTTCCCTCAAATCTGCCCTGTTCATTGCTAATTTGTTACACGTAACAGTAAAAACACTTCTCCACCTAACTGGTCACGAGCTCCCAGGGTGTGAAATGCTAGCAGGAAGAGCCATCAGAGCACGATTCTGTGATCTTCCTGTACGCATTAAGATGAAGTATTTGTTACTGCACAGCCAGAACTGATATTGCCAAAGTACTCCAACTTTCAAGGAAGAAAGGAGGCGGCTCAGCTGCCGGGGGGGCTGCTTTAAGGAACTGCTTCATTTTAAAAGCTGCGGTGATCCAGCATTCACCTTCTTACTTGACTTGAGAGTCTCATTTTAGCTCTCCCTTACCCTTTGGCAGGCGTACCTGCTGCTAGAGAGTGCAGGCTGTGTGCCCCCGTCCCTTCGCCTCTCCCCGCAGAGCTCACCCTGCCCACAGAGCGCGGTGCTGGCTCCTGGGACGCCACGCGTACGTGCAGTGGTAATGGACAAGACGTCTTCCTTCATTACCCTGAGCAGAAATCGGAATGTAATTTGCGATGTCTCATGTAAAACGTGTTTGTATTTCTTTATTTTTTTTTTTTAATCGAGCAGTATGATTGCAAGTTGACTTAAGTTGTTCCGAGGTACTCTTTTTTCAATGGTCTGCCAGTACGTAATCATGAATGAAAATATTTTTTTATTGATTTTTTAGGTTGTCTGTTAACATTCCATTCGTGTAAAATATGTACAAATCTATGTAATAAATCTTTTGAAGCACAGTTTTCTTCACAACTTCCAGGTGATTTTGGTCGTGAGGTAGTGGATGAGGCACCACCACGGCGGGGCAGAGCTGCCGTATGTATGTCTGTGCTACAGACCAGACTGGAAAGGGAGGAGGAGAAATATGTAGACCCAGCTAGAAGGGCGGTGGGCTTTTTTTTTCTCCTGATTGCCTTCTGGGAAGCCTGAATTCCTTCACTGCCCGTAATTCATACGTTTTCCTCCTCCGTCTTGGGCACGTGAAATGGCAGCTGCGTTACGGGAGCAGTCGCTAATTAGGCAGCGCCGGGTTTGGCCTCGCCTCAGGAAAATCCGCTGGAAAGGAGTCCGTTTCGGTAGGTGCAGGATTTCGGGTGTGAGACGTGGATCTGTGGAGCCTGTTGGTATCGTGTTCCCCTCACGGCTCTGCGTGTGTGGGGCCTGACGCGGGCAGGGACAGCGCTCGCTTCTGGGCCTGGTGTCCCTTGGAGCAGCAAGGGGAGCAAAACGTGTGGCCAAGGAGCAAAACACGTGGCCAAGGAGCAAGGAGGGAGCAGGGAGGGTCTCCTTCAGCAGCTGGAGCTAAACGGGGACTGTTGTTTTCTCTCCCCTGGGGTCCTCAAGGCCTCGTGCTCCTTCCAGGGCTACCCCTGAGGAGCCATGTCTGTGCCTGAGGGGTGCGGGCCGGAGCCCCATGTGCTCCTTCAGCAGCTCTGGTCGTGGATCTGGCCCCGTGTCCAGAAAGGCGAGAGCACGGCAGGACCCTGCTCACACCCAGACAATGGGCAGCCCCAGCAGCAGCCGAGTGGGACAGGGTTTTCCAGGCCTGGCTTAATAAAGCGCCTGTTTTCTGAGGGGGATGAGGTCAGGGAGGCGTGGGGGCTGGGAGGAGGGGTTTGAGATAAATAAATAATTGTATGAAGCCCATCCTCGGTTGTCGCAAGATGACTCAGTCCTCAAGGCGAGAGAAGGGAGGGAGCTGCAGCGTTGGGAGCTGCAGGTGCCTGGTGCCCCTCCGGGCTGAGCCACGCTGTGTACCAGGCTCCTGCCCTGCTTTTCCTTTTCACCCTGGTTATAGATTTCTTTGTTTGAACAGGCGTTTAAATTTTAACCCAGGCATCTGTCTCCTCCCCTCCCTTCCTGGCTGATCCTTTAAGCAGGCTTCAAATGCTAGGAAAAGGAACAAAGTCTCTGTCTGCCCCGGACCAGCTCCATCCCTGACCAGAAAGTCCCACCAAGGGTCTCCTCCCGTGCCCAGGGGGGACCTGGTGGCTTACTGGGAGGAAAGCTCTTCAAAATTCACCCGTGCCAGGATTCACATCTGCTAAATTCAGCATTAAAGGAGCCTGGCAGGTATCAGGGGCATGAACACTTCATTTGCGCCAGTCCCCGAGCTCCAGGTCTGCGGCTCATGAGGCTTTCACTGCTGCTTACGTTGTGCCTCCTGTGTGCAGGCTGAAGCCCAGGCCAAGTGTCTGCTTGACACTGTTTCAGCAAGGCCAAAGAACCTGCAGCAGCCTGGTGGGGTTCTTTAAAAAGCTGTTTATTATCACAGCAGACAAGTAGAAAAAACGTAATGCTGCATACAGAGAACGTCTTCGCAAATTACAAGCAAGTCTTAAAAAGGTTACAGCGGTGTCTGTGCTCCGGTAAATGTGGCTTTTGCTGCAGACCACTAAGGTGCTGATCAAAAGCTCTCTGCAAGTAGCCTGGTAAGACTACAAAGAAAGAAATGGAGCCCACTGGTACTGTGCCAACAAAGTAGGACACTTGGGCTACCCCCTGAGCAGTTCCACCAGCCCCAGCATCCCAAAGCTGTGACGTGACTTGGGAGCGGGGTGCAGGGAAACCCCTCAGAGCCAGACCCAGCTGGACCCAGACCTGCGGGCCAGCCCAGAAGAGCTCTTGCAATCTGAAATCTTCCCTGACACCAGGGGGTGTGACTGGCACGGGAAACAAGCAAATAATTCAATGATTGGAGCAAACTGGGAGCAACACGGGCAAGTGAGGGCTCTGGGGAAGGCCCTTCTCGCCCCGGTGTCTCCTCCCTTCGCAAGGTAAACCACGAACAAGATTTTGACAAGGCGCACGGGTGTCTGATTTGTTGAAGTGGCTGAGAAAGCTTTAAAGGCCTTGTTTTGGCAGATGTTTTTGCAACTGAAATCCAGCTCGTATGTAACTGTGCCCTTTTGCTTCAGTAAACAAATGGCTCAGGTGCGGAAATCATTCACTGGCTTTCCTCTGGCACAGTCTGAAAGCTTCATCTGCCTGTCTCCCTGTAAAAAATCAGTGCTGATACCATGGGCAGGGAGGAAAAGTCACTGAAAAATAATTACTAGGTTGTTATTAATCTTTTTTTTTTTTTAAATGCTGAATTGTTGAAAAGCTTTATGAGTGTTGTAAAATATGTTAGGGAGCTGGAATGAGCAGACAGAACTGAGGACTGGTAAAGGTGTGTTACCAAGCAGGAAAAGGAGAAAACCTACAGAGAAAGCCTTTTTTTTGGTTAGTCAAGAAGTTTTGTGGCTTATTCAGCAACTGGAGAAGCATTTCTCAAAATTTTAGGGGGGCAGCAGCATGGCAGAAGGAAGGAAGCTGGATCATGCTTCTCCATTTTCCGCTCTTTGTATGCAGCGTAAGGTAGAACTTGAGATTCCCCTTATGAAGAATGCCTAATTTGCACCAAAAATAAATATCAAGCACCCTGCTTCTCTGTAAACTGGTTTCTTTTAAGGCTTTCTGAAGTAACATTCTCTAAACACTAATTATTTTGGAAGGGGGTAGTGTTTTCTTGCTGGTCCTTATCATTGCTACGAGTACCTCACCTTGTGCACTAGTTGAAGCATAGGATAGTAGGTTTCCCAGCAAATCTCGGTGCTTTTTTGTGCTTACACGTTGCTGGGAGAAGGGATTTCCACTTGACGCAATTGGTTTTCAATTGTCCCTTCACCCCCCCGAAGCGAGGCAACTTCATACTGGTGTATTGCCACCAGCACAGTGTCTAGGCCAAGAGCCAAGGCAATGAACAGGCTGCTAATTAATTTTTCACATTTATCTCCAGCCCCTCTCCCCAGAACAAACACTGTGAAAGCAGGAGGTGGCAGTATCTGTGCAGCCCTCAGCAGATCTTACGCAGAAGTGTTTTACTGCCAGTGTTATGATGCTACAGTGATGGTAGGAAGGTTTTCTGCTTCTGTAAAAGAACATGTATTGGTTTCAATATGGAAAAAAAAAAGATTATTGAAGGTAATCTGAATTTCACGTTTATCAAAACACGGTGTCTACGACCACTGTTTTCCAGTGGGAAGATGAAGGCCTCGTTTCTAGGCAGGAGAAAAGGATTCGTGTTGGTAACTTCAGTACCACACAACTATTCCAGCCGGCTTATGTCTCCAGTAAGACCATCGTTTGCAGCTATGAAGCAGATAATACTGTCAGCTTGTGGAGCCTGGGCATCCTGCACCCTTTCTCGTGTACGCGTGCGTATAAATAAGTTAGAGATTATTTACATCAGTGTACAGAATAAATCTGAATTCAGTTACCCAAATCCATCTAGCTGCTCCCAGATTTGGTCTGTTAGCACTTTGTGTTTCATCTTCAAAGCACCACACGGACATGAATTATTTACCAAGGCAACTTCCCACTCACCGAAAGGATTAAGAATAGCGAGCAGGGTAAGGGATGGAGCCGAGGGAAGGCAGCTTGTTCATAAAAACGCAGCTACTCATGCCTCTCTCTCCTGCCACGAGTACTGCTGGTTTATGCCTTTATAAACTCTGCAGTCCAAGTGTAGGAGCAGTCTTTGTAACACGAAGCTCATCACAATGGCAAAGTCCTCACTCAGAAGCAAATGATCCGCTCTTCGTTTTCAAAAGCTTTGGCTTCTTCTTGGCTTATCAGGTTCCCGTTCAAGCTGTTGAAGAGGGAAAATAAAAGGGATGTGAAAGCGAGGCAGTGATTGTGCCCATCCTCTGTTTTTCCAAGGTTTTGGAGCAGAGATCAGAACTCGGCAGTGCCGTGTGCTTCCCAAGGGTGTGCGCGTGGGAGCAGCCTCCAAAGGCTGACTGCATCTTGCTGCTCCCACTGCATGCACAAGGAGCAAGGCGACTTCTTCAGAAAGAAAAACAGAACACCTAAATTCATCTTCACAGCCTTTCGTGTCTTCTGTGACAGCGAAGGAAGAAAACCCGTAAGTACTCAGACATTATTAATCTGAAATGACTTAGGGGAAAATTTTCTAATCTGGCTACACTGATATTTACGCCCCTGAAAATAAGCAGCCTGCTAAGTGCAGCTTTCAGAAACGATGGATACCATTAAGCCACTGAGATTTATGGAAATATCAGGGCTAACAAACACCTCTCAAAATCCAGGCAAAAATCAAAAGACAGACTTTGGTTTGAAAATGCAGAATGACTCAAGCGGGAATTGAGGCCTCCTTTGTAGATGACAGCTGATGCTGGCCTTTGAAAAAAAAATAAAAAGCATCTTTTCCACATCTCCAGGGAAGCCACTAGTCAGATAGTGAGTCATTGTCTTTCCAAGCAAAAATCCAGTGTCCTTTCACTAAAACAAATATGTATTTTTAAAAATACATTTCAGGTTCGATAATATGGGAGCAGCAGTGCTAAAACCAGCACCACTCTATTGACTCCCGAGCTCCCTGAGGTGAGGGAAGGAATGTGGTATTTGGCTTTGTGCCTTATAACGCACACGCGTGACTGGGTGATGCCTACCTAATCTAAAACAAGCAGATCTTACAAAAAAAGTTAATCTCCTTGTAGCTTAGCACTTTTCAGGTGTCTGGAGCACTGCCCGAAGAAAAATCCTAGCACAAGTTGTATGAAGCAAATTAGTAATGCTAATTAAATGTAACCATCTCCTGCATGTTGGGATTTAACTCCTGAGGAGCATGAACATGTTAAGAAGTTTGAAAAAAAAGTCATGAAAAGCAAACTTGTCTAGAAATTTTGACCCTAAGTCTGAAAACACATGCATTTGGTGAGTCGGTGATACAGACAGATATGAATGTCAAAAAGTTTTGTGAGTTCCTAACACGCAGGGAAGTGTTTCAGTGACAGAGGCTTTTTACCTCTGTGAAACCTGCAGCTGGATCTGCAGCCCCTGCCTCACATAAACTTGATTTTTAATTTTTTTTTAAGGCTGGAAAGTGAATGCCAGATGTGTTTTTGAAGGGAAAGAAAGTTTACAAAGTGAGCCTTTGAGGAGAGGAACTTTACCAGACTTCTTTAATCGCCGTGTTCTCCTTGAGAGCTTCGCTGAGGTACTTCACCCCTCTGGCTGTAATTTGATTCTGGATAAGCCTAAAAAGAAAGCGCTTCATGTCAAACTTGCATGCAAACCATTTCACAGCACACGCACAGCCTAAGCTCAGCCTGACATCGCGGAGCAGAGCTGTCAGTCTTGCCACAGGCAGACGGCTGCAATTTCCATCCAGGATGGTGCCCAGTGCTGCTCAAATGCCCCACAGGTGCACTTTCAGAACCAGAGCATCGATCCCTTCCTTTTAAGCCTGCACGTGGCTACACTCTGTGTGGACCAGCAAGATCTTGACACGTTGCATTTTGCTCACTTATGAGTATAAAACTACTCATCATCCTGTCCTAATTCCCTACTCACCTTTCGGTCTATCGTGGTGTGCCCCAGAGCTGTACCACTTCACGTGGCTACCTGAATGAATCCCACAAGATTCATGAGGCTGAAGATCAGAAGGACCTGAAGGATCTCGTAGGGATGGAGGGAAGGAAGGAAGCAGGGAGACGTTCCCATTAGAGGGCTTCCTGCACTTTGTAAATGAATCAAAATGCAGAGGGATCCACTGGATTCTTTCAGCTGCTGGAAAAATATCCTTCTCCGAGTGCAACCATCTATATAGGTCACCACCTTTTGGAGGTATCCATTGATATAATAAGGCAGGAGATAAATTTGCCTACAAGCAGAAACCCTCTGATAACACTGAGCTTTGGGAAGTTTTCTCATGACTCAAACTGAACCATCCAGTGAAGCATATCTGCAGCTATGCACAAAGAAATCCAGCCCTTCCCACCCCCTTTCATTTTCAGGGTGCTGGGCAGCAGGACTTCCACCGCTTTCAAAACAGGCTGCAAGCACTCAGCCCCTCTGACAATCAGCACACTTCCTAAGGGGCACGAATCAAGATTAATACAGGGGATGCTGAAGGTTGGTTAGCAAAGATTTTATGCAAGTTTGCAAAGGGACTCTGTTTATTACATTTTCTTGGCCACTTGGGATGAACAGATGGCTGTTTGTTTCACAGCCCACATCTGCCCAACCCCGTTCATGGAGAAATTCCTGTGAACCTCTGGATTAGGACAGCCAGAGCTGTGTTTTCTTAGAAGCTTAACAAGTCCCTTTGCGATTGCTATAAACCATAAGCTCTGCTTTCCTGGAGGTTTGTGTCTCGTGGTTGAGTGCCTTGCCTCAGTGAAAGAGCCTACAAGAAAACACCAGGCAAACAGGAGATGTAAGTGGCTGTCAGGTAGCTTCTTGGTGGAGGAGTCAGAGTAGATCTTGCTATTTTGACAGTGCTGACAAAATAGCAAGAATTATAACAATGTTATTTTATTCTAGCTGTCTGCTTGTAGATTTCTGAAACTTACCTTGGAGGCCAGTGATGCTCTGCTAAAGAGAAACGAAATCAGCTGGTAGTTCGAAAGTTACCAGGACACACAAATAGCTTCAACTTTTCCCCATAGGAAAGTAGTTTCTAGATGCTAGACACAGCTTTATTAGCTTTCTATTAAAACTGTCTACAAGCAGTCAGCTGCATCCAGACCATGCACAGAAAGCTTACTGTGACCTACATAGACTTGGAAGGTGAAGCTTTAATGCGGTGACTGCCAAAGAGCCTGTGCCTCTGTGGAATGTAACTCACCATAAGTGCACCAGTTTCTTGTTGACCTTCAGCATCTCTGCAAAACTCATTGCTGCCTCATCATCCAGCTCATTTTTTGTCAGCCTAAGTGGGAGAGAAAACGTTCACTTCAGCTGTTATTGTTATTTTTCATCCCCCTGCTTTTCCAGCTCGTCTGAGACTCAGCTTTGGACAGCCAAAGGGGCGTGTGCTGTTCCTGCCCTGAGCAATTTCTAAAGTCTGGACCACAGACATGCTGAAGAGAAGCTCTGGGGTAAAAGGGACACAAATATTAGAGATCTTCACTTCTCAGAGCAATGATCTATCTAATATTTTCTCGTGATGTTAAGGCGAATACAAAGTACGTGAGCTGTGGCGGAAAAAGGTGGAGAGGTAAAGACAGCACTGACGAGGTGCAAAACCTGTGAGGATGAAGAAGTGAGAGAAAATGGGGAAGGAAAGGTGGAGGGAGTAGAAATAAGCACAGACCAGAACTGCAGGTAGCCACAAGGGGAACTGAGAAGCCCAAACTCAATACTGGGCATGACAAAACCAGAGGCAGACAGGTTAAATCACTGCTTTCAGGCAGCAGTCTGCAGAGACACTAATAGTAGACTTCTTATCCCTTAAGTCAAAACCCAACCAACCTTTCTAAAGTTAAAGGGTGACATAAAGGACTCAGCATGCACACGGGAAGTGTGGCAGTGCTCCTCCAAGCAGGAAAGCTGATCTGCTCCTCATGCCCACGTTCTTCCAAAGGGTAGCAAGATACAGGGGATGAGAGAAGGGAGAGCAGGAGGCGCAGATGGGATCAGAGGAAGTAAAACCAGGCTGCGGCTTTCTCTGGAGAAGGAAGAGGAGAAGCAGAGCACGCTGTTGCTTACCAGAAGATTTTCACGGAGTCGTTGTGCTGCATGGCTTCAGCAATACTTTTCCCTCCCTCTGACGTGATGCCGTTGAACGCGAGACTGTGAAGCAAACAGACACAAAGGCTTCAGAACCAGCCAGCATTACCTGACCCCGCCGCTGCCAAACACTAATGAGTATCCTGGCATGGTGTGTTTTGACTCTTAAACACAATACCTGCTGTTGTGCAGGGAGAGAGGAGCTTGTAAATGCATGCTTTCCATTACAAACCACAAACATTTCTGAGTCTGCCATTCGTTCTTTGAATAGACGTCGGCAACACCATCCGGTTAAAACTTACGCTTCAGGCTTTGAGGGTTCAAAAAGCATTTCCATCCTCAGAAGCTAGGCCAGAGCTTGAAAATAGTGCAAGGCCTCGGAAAAAAAAAAAAAAAAAAGGCAGAAAGGGGATGAAATGGGGCAATGGCACAAATATGTGCTAGCATGAGCCCCTGCTAACTTCTGCTGAGACTGTGTACTCTCAGTCCCTCATGACTGGGCCTAAAAAATGGCAAATGTGCTGATGTGAGCTGATGTGGCAGGCACCATCTTCTCTTACCCTTTGCATCAAGCTACCACAGCGAGCTGGTGCTAGCTGTGCATTCAAATCATGAACCAAGATGAAGCAGTGGGAGATACGAAGGGAGCCCCAGTGCAAGGACGCTGCAGAGCAGCAGATTCACCCTGCATGGATGCCAGCAAAGCCTGGCTGTGGCTTGCAGTTACCCCTCCTTATTTTTGCAGGCACATTCTGCAGCATATTTGGTCCTGTCCGAGCATCCCAGGTGTAGCCCAGCTCTGATTCAGGCTCAAACTGTTTGCTTTCAAGTCCGATGCACCTGGCTGGATTCTGAAATGAGGGGGAGATGGCTATTTCAGATAGCTTTTAAGTTTAAATGTATCTAGGTCACTGCACCTGCTCGGCTTTGAATTTTTTAAGGCCAGCTATAAGCTGGCAGAAAGGAGGACAGGCCACCAGCTCCGAGATCCCTGGATCTGAAGTGGCAGCAGCAAGCTCTCAGGAGATCCCCAAACTCCCCGAGCGCTGCATTTGTGAAGAAACCGGTGCCATGTGCCACCTTGTGGGGAAACCAAGAAGCCTCATGTGTTTCCTCGCAGAGAGGCCAGTGGAAATGGGAGACAAATAGCAAGGATCACCAACGCTTCCAAGCGTGGTGGGAAAGCCAGTGCAGCGTCGAGCTGGGCTGGGGTTTTACCTCACGTTCGTTAAGGTGGGGTGGTTCCTCAGGGCCTCTGCAAACGCCTTGGCGCCTTCGTCTCCGACGTGATTACCCCACATCCTGGTGAAGACAGGAAACCAGGAGATATTAGGCGTGTTGCCCTGCTGCCCCTCAGCATCACGTTCTTTCCTTTTCTCTCCCTCTCCCTCCCCCTACCACCACTTCCCAGGCTTTGAGGCTTGCAAGAAAGCTGGCACGAACCATCCCCACCGAGCCGGGCATGTTCCACTCCCTGCACACCACGCCATCAGCCTCTCTGACTCACCAGTACCCTAAGGCCACAGCACAGGAGACAGCCTGCTGCAGTGCCAATGCTTTTGGGATCAGCTTGCTGTGCTGGGCAAACCCTCTGCAGCCCTGTACCCTTGTGGGGTCAAGGACTTTTGTGATCCGTGCAGCGAGCTGCTGTGACACATAGACAAAGCCCTAAATCCTCAGCATTTGCTGTAGGTCCCCATGCTGCAGTTTTCCTTTACCTGTGGGGCACGGACTGGGTGTAACACAGCTCAAAGTAACGTGGCAAAAGCTGCACAGCTCTGATCGACGTTCAGCAGCAATATCTGGTCAAATCCTTGCCACACAGACCGAGGGCTTTGACAATTCACCGGGTATTCTCAGGCTTGAAAGAGCCTCTGCTGAGTTACAATGTTTTTTCACAGATCTCATGTCTTGATGACTCAGAGCTACACTCAGCTTGATGGGTAATTAGTTGGCAGCTCTTAAAATCAATCGAGTTTTGCAGTATCTACACACAGCCACTTCCAGTAAGTTCCCTAGAATTTCCTTCTCAAAAATAAAGCCTGAAATCTGATTGTTCAAACCTGATTTTCACATTTGTTATGGTGGCCAAACAAAAGTTTTAATTCCATGTATTTGAGTATTAGATCCTAAGAAGAACATTTTCCTGCAGAGCGAAAAGAAAAACTGGGATTTGCCAGAGGGAAAAAATCAACCCCTCAAGTCTAGCATCTCTCCTAAGAGGACAGGGATCAAAGGTTTCGAGGACATTAAGACCTCTCTCCAGTAACAGGAGGCTCTCCAGTCCAGGACAGAAGGATGAGGAGGAGTTCCTTTTTATTCTCAGAGCTCACAAATTTATCAGGACTTGGCACAGAGTGTTTGACAACCTTAACCTTGACACTCAATAACTAGGTACATCGCCAATAGTCATAAAACCATTTTTTTAAAATAGAAAACGTGGCTGTGCTTCTGCACCAGTTTGGTCTGCAGCTGGAGGGAGAGAGGAAATGGGAGAAGGAGGGAAGGTAAGAATGAAAGAAGAAATCCTAAGGGATTTACAAACGCCTTGCCAAGACCAAGCCCTGAGCATTCCTCCTAAGCACTGAACTTACCCAATTTCAAACATTGTCTTGCTCTTCTGGATGGCTTGGGCGAGGCACTTCCCTCCTTCGCTAGTTATTTTGTTTGCTCCTATTCTGCACAAAACACGTGAATTGATGAGGTACCTCGCTGACAACACTACGGCTGTCAGAACACCAGCTCATGAAGCAATACAAGCATTTAAGGCTAATTAACTCTGGAGGCTAGTTACGGTTATCAAAGATTAACCTGGAGTAAAAAATCCTGCAGGCATTTGACCTTCGATTAAAGGAAGACATATTTTGTATGTTGGCCCTCCTAATATGACGTATTTCTGGGTAGAGTCTTGATTTTGGTGCTCCGTGTGTCAGAAATGAGGCTTAGGAACTAGTCCCCAAGACAAGGCTCCCTGCCTGGTTTTCAATCTAACTCATAGCATCAATTGCTGCTGCAGAGTACATGAATTACATGCAGCATGATGCCAGAGGGAGCAGAGCATTGCTTGGTAGTGTAGCTCGAGAGAAGATTGCAGCACAAACTAATAATTTTATGTTTTTCTGTTCCGAGCACAGGCTACAGGTGGTGGCACAGGCCAGTCCAGCACTGGTCAGTGGCTGGTGCTGCTGGAACACCTTTCCTTTCCTTGGCTTGTGTGGGAGCATCACATGGCTGCAGTTCAAGAAAGAGGCAAGTCTCAATTGTATGCACATTGCTGTAAAGAGCAAACCAACCCCCCAAACCACTGAATTTACATAAATGAAAACTGGTTTGGTTGGCTGACTTCAGGCACACGAATATGCATTCTATCCCAAAACAACCTCTGGGCTTACTAGGTAGCCTGACAGAAACTGTCTTCCAACAGGTTTTTTGGTGGAAGTGAGAAGATGAAATAAACAAATCACTGTTAAAGTGGTGAAAAAAATGGAGAGCTCTTGGCCTTCAAAAATCTGCAAGTATTTCAGGTGGGAAGTATGTGGCTTGTGTGGGGTTTCATAGCTAGTTAGTAGCAGAACAAGGCCTAGAACCCAACAACCCCTGGCTGTGGGTTGCTGCCTTCATACCAGCAGCTGGCATTGCTGTGGGTACCTCTATTTTCTGCTGCGGTCATAATTAAACCATTGGTTAATGGTTTACCTTTATGTCAAATCAGTGCTGTGCATGGCCAGACAGTTATGTGGAGAAGTTCCAGGAATTAAAGGGAACAACTTACCAAGTGAATTTGGGTAATTCCAGCATTGAGGTATGACTCCAAAGGCCCAGAAGAGGCTGGGTATAAAGAAGCCTGGTGCTAAATGCAGGTGAATTCACCCATTGCAAGGGCCAGCAAGGTTTGTGCACCATTTAAGCCTCACTCGAGTGTTCAAACTGGATTTAAGTAAAAAGTTTCACCTGCTGCCACTCACTGCTAGACTACTGTAAAAAAAATACATAAATGCAACCAAAATTATATTTTACTTGCAAAAGGATTTTTGCCTTTTTTCACTCTACCTCCCTTTTCACGTTGCTTTACCTTAATTATGATGCTGTACAAGTATAAAGGAAAAAAAAAGCCCAACTTACTTAACATATTCAAGGCTTGAGCACTCCTCAATGAGTTTCGCAACATATTTGGCTCCAACATCAGTGATTTGATTGTTGTATAAGCTTAAAGAAAAATCACATTGGCAAAAATGGGTTATTCCTGCTGTTACTTTAATATTTACAACCTGGATGTTTTATAAAGCACATAGAGCATCAATCTTTTTTGTACACATGCACAATTGCTTGTATTTCTATTTTGATACGCAGTTAATATTGTGAAGGGCTAGATATAAAATACAAGAGACCAGGCTGTAAATCATGGGAAAATATGTATATAATTTTTTAAATGCACGGTCTCCTCAAGCAAACAAATCTTCCCTTTATTCCCGTGTCAGTATGGAAATAACACCGCATAAGTCTGAAGAAAAAGAAAACACCAGCAGAATGTATTTTCATTTTTTAAAATGTCATAAAATCCCCTTGCAAATATTACTGAAGATCAGATACCTGAGCAGATGTACTTACAGTAAGGCCCTGGAACAAGGAGGTAATTCTTGGTATCCATGCTCACTTCTCAAAAAATCATTTTAATTTAGCTTCTTAACCCAGAGTGGGAAGCCAGAGCTAACATCCCTACCAGCTTTAACTTGATTAAGAATTAATTTTTTTTAAAAAATGCTACTTTATATGTTAAAAAAGGAGGTGTCTTTGGTTCCCACCCCACCAATGCTGTGTCAGCACTGCAGTTTTACTTTCTAGTATCAATACCTCGTGCTCCCGGTTGGTACATACCCCAAGAAAGTCACAATTTTGTACTTGGAGAGTTCTTCGTATAATATCCTTACTCCATGATCTGTGATTTGATTTACACTGAGCCTGGGATGAGAGGAAAGAGAAGAGAGTTTGAATCAATAGGGATTACATGTGTTCATCCCCCATGAGTTAAGGGATCACTGGAGGTCTGTGCAGTCCCCTCTGACATTTCAACAGGTTCTTATACCACGTATTAAAATCAATTAAGGGAGATGTGAACTCAGTTTTACATGGTTCACTTCAGAAACAAAAGAAAACAAAAAGCCCCCAAACACCAAGGCAGCGTTCTGGAAGCTGCCCATAGGCCTGAAAACCATAAAAAAGCAGTAAGTCAGAAACCAGAGACAAACACCTCATCTTCTTCCCGCGCTTAGTGATTGCAGAAATTCCCCTTGACACGAGCAACAACAAGCTTTCCAGACCACTCTCGCAACCTTCTCTCTGGGTACCTAGTTAAAGCCAGGCGTCTTGAAAGGCACAGCACTTTCAGGCTCCACTGACTAAAGGTTGTGAAAAGCTCTGGCCAGGAAATGGAACTGCAGTCCCAGAGGCATGCTAGATGTTCCCAATTTATTGGCCCAATTACACGCAAAACAAATCAATGTCAGTCACTCACAGAATGAAAATATATGTATTTTTTAAAAACTCCTGAAGCTTTTTCACTGTCCACAGAGCAAAGCCAAGCAAGAGTCATAAATCCATTTGTTAAAAATAAAATAAAATAAAATCTCGTGAGGCTGAAGGAGCTTCAAAAAATAAATACTTGAAGTTCCTGTTTTTCTTCACCTGACTATTTGGACAAATAAGGTCTGGCTGCATTACACAACCTCAGCAGGTGGAACAACGTGGCCTGTGATGTTAGAGGTGGAATGAGTTTGCCCCGATCACACCAGCTCATGTCCTCCCTCCACATCACCTCAGGGAAATCCCACAACTAACACTTCAGCCACCTCCTTTCATGAAGTACTGCATGCTAGCTTTTATTCTGTGAAAGCCAGACACCTTGGCAGGATGTAAAAGCAAGACATTTGCAGCATTTGGTCGTGGGTTACTGTGAATGGCAGATTTGCTCTCACCCTTTACGTCCAAGGGCAGAGACGGGCTCAGGCAATCTTCAGATAAAGGAGGAAGAATTTCTGTTTCCTTTCATCTCCCTTAAGCACTTTCTCCTATAAAAATCCTCTTCTGAGAAAAAAAAGTTTGTGATAGAACTACCTAAACCTAGAGATGTAAACAGTCCTGGCTTCTAAGGACTTCTTACCACCTTTTCTGTTTGAGTTTCCAAATTCACTCACCCCTGCTCCTGCGGCTGACTGAACAAATATTTCATGAGACCTGAAAGTGGCAGAGCTGGGGGTAGTCAAACCTCTAATCCAAATCATGCTGCGTGGGGCTATTTCCAGGCTTTGATTTCTGCTTTGAAGGCCAACTGCACTTTAATTTCCAGCAGCAGTGAGAATTCTGTTTCTCCACTTTCAGGATGAACTCCTCCAGCCCCGCTGCCAGTGGAATGAAGGCTAAGGAGGAACCAGCTCGTACAAACTCCTACCTGATCACGGCAAGCTTGCTGAAACAGGGCAGCAGCTGCTTTATTCCATAGTCGTTGATGTTGTTGTTGTCCAGATCCAGAGCCAGGCGCTTCTGGAGGTGGTGCACAACAAAGGAAATGGCGCTGCAGTCAGCGGAGTAGGCATTGCAGTACGTCAGCTTGATGTAGTTGGCGTGCATGCGTTTGGCAGCCAGCTTCCCCACCTTCTCGCTCTGAGTCTCATAAAGGCACCTCAGCATCCAAACAAAGTTTGGCTGCACCTGAATCTGATTGTAGTTTAGGAGCCTGGAGCGAGTGAGGCCCTTCAGGTGGGATTTCATGCTCTCCCCAAGGTAGGTGATGAGGGTCTTTCTCTTCCTCTTAATGACCGCAGGCAAAACTAAATGCCTGAAGAGCTTCTGCTTGGATCTGGAAAGCAGGCCACAGAGAAAAAGGTTGGTAAAATGGAAGTGCTCGTTGTTTCGGAAAGGATCCTCCCCTGCCAGGTGTTTCTTCAGCCAAGGGATGTGAAGGCAAGTAGGCTGGGCAGTCTCCGTGGAAGAGCATTCATTGAAAAACTGCAGTATCTCCTTGGTGCCCACTCTCTCTTCGATAACCAGGAACAAAGCTGTGAAAAAAGACTGAAGGGTTAAGTGCAAGAACTCGTAAGTGGACTGACTGTCACAGCCGGTATAACCTTTGACTGTCCTGAGAAAACCCAGCTGCAAATCTTCTTCAGAGATGTTTGCTGCTGTAACCTCCTCCTGCTCGAAGATGAAGAAGGAGTTCCCCATCCCTCTGTAGGCAATTTTACCCAAGGCTAGCAGGGTTTCCTTTCTTGCCTTGAACATCTCTGCTTGACTCCTGGTGTTGCTCTTCAGCAAACTTGTTTTCAGAGACCGGTTCAGGTGGACCTCAATCATGAGCAGAAACACGTCTGTCAACGTAACAGAACAGTCTGGCAGTTCGTGGCTGTCATACATGGAGCGGAAGTGTTCGTAGCATTTAAAGATAATCCAGCAAAATAAAGGCACCGAGCACAAACTGCAGAGATTGGGGTTGGCTTCCAGCTGGTTCAACACCAGTGCTCGCTGCCCCTCATCTTTGAAAAACATGGCAGTGTATTCCTTCAGGTTACTGCTGGAGAAGCCACGGAGCAAGACTTTCTTCCTAATGATGTTCCTTTGGATCTCAGTTCCCGTCCGTGCCGTTAGAACTTTCTTGGATCCCTTCAGAAGCTTTCCTCGGAGCAGGCTTACCAGCAGCACCAGCGGGTGGGTGGGCTCGTCGGGTGAACACATCTCGGGAACGCTGCTGAGATCAAAGTTGGAATAGATCTCATCAAAGCCATCAAAAGTGAAAAGAACCGTATGAGGGAACTGCAAGATGTGACGGAACACCTCCGCGGGGTCCTGGTCTGGGTAGCAATTATATTTGAAGAGCAAGTCTTTCAAACACACGGCTTCGTCTTCCTTAAAGCAACTAAACATCCTACATCGGAAACGGAAGAAAAATTTGGCCCCTATGTCCAACTGCTTCCTGGCCCACAGGCTTTGTATCTTCTGCAGCAAGATCGATTTTCCAATTCCTGCATCACCGAAGACATAAATCGTCTCTCCATCTTCATTAATTAGCCCGACTGCATCGTCAAAAAGGGCTTCTAATTGACACACTTCACCTAGGCTCTCATTGGTGAAACTGACCAGCTCCATAACGCTGTTAGAGTAAGTTTCTTCAAGCAGCATCTCTTCCCTCTGAGCATACGACATAACGAACTTGGAGTCTCGTCCCAGCTCATATCTGAGTTTCTGGCAATACCTGCTAACTGAAAAGACAGGGAAGTGTTATTAAAAAGCCCGTTGCGTATGATCACCCGCCTCGGTGGGAACTGTGAGGGGCAATAAGTTAAAATAATTCTTCTGTAAAATCAGTTCTCTGGCAGATTGCTGCTATGGATTTGGGCCGCCATTATTAGTCTCTTGGAAAAATCAGAGATTTGCTAACGACCTTGCTAATGAAAGAGGTAATGAGTTATGTCACCATCTCCTGAAAACCAGTACTGACTCCAAGACGCTGCACTGCATTAAGAGGCTTCCGTCTTTCAGCTGAGACTCAAAGTCAAGCCCTTGAACCTTTGTTAAAGATTTGTCTCTGCAAAGGCAGAGGGTTTTGGTCACAGATTGGTTTTGGCATCTGCCTTTTCCCTCTGTTTATATTCTACCTGTTACTTCTATTGGGTAGGTGGTCATTCTTTCCTAACTTGTTTGGTAATTTTTATTATTGCAAACAGCAAGCATGTCCTTTAGAAAGCAGGAATCTCAAGAGATCTTTGTTAGGCTGACACAGAAAATGAAAATCCTAGCTATTGTGCAGTGTTGCACTGGGTTTTTATTGCAACAGAAGCTTTACTGATAATGGAAGCAAAGTAATTCTTGTATGGGGCAGACCTAACGAAAGGGATATGGATGCACGGCCTTACCTGGATCTGTATTTACCACAGGTCTGCTACAAATATTCTCTGAAGGCTCATAAGCTATTTCATCCAGCCAAGGCTGAAGTTCATAGTAAGCATCAGTGACTTTCTGTAGGACACGGATGAAATATTCCGAAACTTCTTCTCCCTTGCTTTGGACCAAGTCTAGGATTTTGCGAACCTGAAGAAACAACACGTGGAAAATCATTGATGCATAGTGATGACTGTTGTACTGCTGGGCTGCTTTAGGATCCCTTTTGGACTGGGACAAGATCCTGAAATCAAAACTGGTGCTTAAAAAAAAACGAATTCAAAATCTAGCTCTGAATTTCAACCATCAAAACCCTCACTTTCTGTTTGTATTGGGATGTTGCAAGAAAGTCAGCTCTGCAGATTAAGGTCTCAACTTTTAGCTAAATCATAGGCTAAAAAAACCCCAACAAACAACATGGATAAATACTTCTCCTCAACACGGAAACTAAAGGATTAGCTCAGCCTGGCTGAGTATATTTTAAATCCTAGGCTTAAAACAAAAAAGATGGAGGGGTTTTCTCAGTGCCCTAAATTAATTCCTCTGGTTTGTAGATATTCCAGTCACATTTAGATTTACCTCTGGATCCTGCTAGACTGAGAGTGGGGCAGGCAGAATCTCTCTCTGGATCTTAATGCAGATCCAAAAAACCTGCAATTCTTTCTTTTCACACAGCAACTCACTACAGCAAGATTATCTCTGTACAATTTACTTGTTGCCTGCAAGTGTTACTGAAGCTAATGGCTACCAAAGAGTGTCTGGAGCAGCTCAAGGCGAATCCTTCCAAAGGCAAACCAGAGCCTGATCTCTGTGCAACCAGCACAAGGCAACCCCAGTACCGAATCCTCCTCAGGACAGAGTAATCTTTTTGGGGCTCAATTTGAATGTTTGGATCCTCTTGCTGAGAATGAATCAAGAATTCAGTTCAAGCAAGGGGTTTTGAGAGACTATGGCCTTGTGTGAGTAAAGCAGGGCGAGTTACATGGGACACAGCAAAATCATGGTATTTTTTTGACATTTTGTGTGCTCTGAAAAACAACTTTAACCCTTCCAGACAAGCTCCCACAGAGTTCACTTACTCTTGTGGCCTGCTCCGTGTCTCTGCTTAGAGTCCTGGTGCACGGCCTCCCCCTCAGCTTTGTTACAACAAGCATGTATATTATGCTGAACAAAAAGAAAAGGGGATGATGGTACAGTGTGCATTTATTCAGCTTTGACCTTGCACACAGTGAGCACTGTGTTAGCGTCTCAGCTCGCCAGCAAGAATGATTATTTTATGAAAATCTGCACTGTTAGGCAAGTCCAAGCTCTCTGAATTCTTTACGGTTTGCCTGCCACTATTCCGAAGCTGCACGACTGGTCGGAGAATGAGGAGCTTGTTTTGGGTCACGACGCACAGAGCAACTGTGCACACCTGATGATTTTCTCCTATCAAAAGAACAGGAATTAATTTTTGCTCCTGATGCCCACAGATGAATTCCAAACCCCAGCGTGTCAGGAGATATCAGTTTTACAAACATTTACCACGTCCAAACATTTCCTAAAGTAAATTTTCCTTAAAATACTCTATATTATAATGAAGGCTTGTGTGCAGCAAGCTGCACTGACAGCCACGGTGGCCACCTCTTTATCCAAGGACAAAGCTGCAGCTGGGGACACAGAGCAGCAATTACCAACCTGCTCGTTTTGGCAGCTGCCAGCAGGCTTACGAGCAGTGCCAGCAGGGCTGGAAAGAGAAGTGGTGGAGATGCTTGTCCAGAAGGAATGGGGTGGGGAGTCTCCAAAATAACAAAGACTGGGAAAGACATCAAGCTCATAAAACCTAACAGTAAAGTTGAAAGTAACAGAAAGTTCAGGTTGGCTAGTGAAATGAAAACAATACCTTATCTGCTTGAGTTGGAAACTGAACAACAATCTCGGCGTCCTCGGTGGAGAAGTACTCATTGTAAAGCAAGTTGTCGATCAAACACTGCGTGTTTCGGATCTTACTGACCAGAAGCTCTCGGTAGATCTTCAGCAAAGCAATGCAGGACGGCGGGCTTGCTCCTGGAGGTTTTTCCAAGGAAATCTCCAAGTTAGCACAAAGTTGGCCTTCCATAGTCGAGACAGCAAGAAGCTGCTCCGTCTAGCCTCATCTTTGGCAAGCTGGCTGGCTGCAGTGAGGAGTCAGCTCGGGGTTAGCTTCAGGGAAACGGGCGATCTGTCCTTCACGTTACCGAGCCTGTAAAAGTAAATTGCACAGAGCCTCAATGTAAACGTTACCCTGTGCAGATGCATCCTGCAAGTAGCCATCAAAGAGTAATTCCAGCCTCTGCACAACACCACTGACAACTTTATCCAAAAAAAAACCCACAACCTGTTATCTTCCTCATGCACTTCCAGACATTTATTCAGCTTTTGGAAAAGAAACAAACCAAAAACTACTGCAGGCAGTCTCCCCTGTAATATAAATACTGCGGTGCAGCTTGCCTCAAACAACAACGCTTGCATCTGCTTTGTTAACTGCCCGTTCCTCGTGCATAATTGAATATTTTTATTAGCTTTTCGTGTTTCAACAGACAAAGCAGGGCATCTGTCCAAACGCAGCTCGACAAGGAAATAAAGGGGAATCAAATTCTATTTCGTAGCAATTAATTCTGTAGGAGGAATTAATTTCTCCTAGCAATTCCCTTTGTCTTCGGTCACAACGAAAGCCTCTGTGTAAAATTTTGCCAGGAGGGTGACTGTCCTCAGAAGCGAGGCCTTGTGAACTCTCCGACAGCCCTGGCTGAAGGAAAGCAAAGCACATCCCCGGCACAACCGTTTGGGGTCGCAGCCAACCCCAAAACGGCAGAGCTCTTCCGACCAAACGTGACGTGACCCAGTGAGCTGGCTTTCCGACCACGAGTGAGTGACTGCATCTGCTCAGACAGATCAGCCCTGCAGTGCACCACGCGCATGACCCAGCGGGTCGAGTGGCTGACTCCTGAGTCACCCCGCTGCCTAGGAGCCACGCAGGCACATCCCTTTCTTTAAGAAAACTCATTTCGGAACTGAACTCCATCACGGAGACCAAACAGATGTTGAAAACATCATTTCCTCCAGAGCTTTTGCAAGCTTTCGGTTAAAGAGATCGAGTCACCTCTAAAACACAGGCAACACAGACACTAACACTTCTCTTTCAAGCCACTGCTCCTACCCAACATCTCCTGCTTGCTTTGGTTGCTCTAGGACCACATTATCCTAATGCACATTTTCTTCCTAGAGCACAAGACAATGGAGAAACGAGAGGATTCAGAAAAGCATTTAAGGTGAAGGCATCAGGGGAGAAAGGGAGAAAAAGCACAAAGGCAGAACGGGGAAGCTACAGCTGGCAATATTAAACCCGCGCACGATGACGTACTCAGTGATATTTTCTGTAGCAATATTAACTTCAGGATTAAAAAAAAAAAGATACTCAGTATTGGAGAAAGCAGTAACTTTCACCGGTATCTTTTCATAAGAAAAATGGAAAATTTCCACCATCCCCAGACAAAGAAAATGTCACGTCAGATGAAGAGCTGAGCGCCTGAAGTTAGAACAGCCCTATCTCCTGGCACAGGCAGCTAATAGCAAGGCAGGTACCTGCATGTTTGTAACAAAGTGGATCGGCTACATGAGGAAACCTCAGGTCCTACCCAGACTAAAGCAAACACAAAAATGTTTTACAGTAGCTGGTTTAGGTGCAGCAGCACCTACAGGTCCTCGTCAGTGTGGGAATGTGCTTATTCTTTCGGAAAAACTCTCCACAGGACTCGGACATACACAGTTCTGCTTTGCTAGCTTCAGGTTTTTGGAAGCAGGAGACCAACGTGCTGACACTATGAGGTATCAGACTTATCTGCAAGTCTATCGTCTCTTTCTGGAAAGAGTCCCAGCTTCCACGGTGCTTTACAATGGCCTCTTTGAGTGATGGATCACAGGGTTACAACATACTGAGTCTCCCATTACAAGGTTCTGTTAGCTTTATAATGCTAGCTTACACAGCTGGCATGTTTAAAGGTAAACGCTTATGTGGCTTAGAAATCTATATTGAAAGCAACCACTTGCTAGACCACGGAGCATGTACAATGTTTTCTTTCTTATCTCAGGCACTCCAGCTGCTGGATCCCGTGCATCAGTCGTGGGGATGCTGGAAGAAAAGGCTGAGGCATACATGCATGTGGGGACACCTCCGTGCACTAAGGTCTAAAAACATATTCTGTTGAGAACCGCTGCCTCATTTAACAGCCATTCCATTTCTGAAAGGCCTAATGAATGAAATCATTTCTAAAAGCCACCCTGAGCTTCTTACAGTCCTTTTGAAGGTATCACTAAGTTACGATAAAGAGAGATCTAACAGAGATTCTAACATCAACAGCTGAAGATGAGCACTGAGGTTTGTACAAAGGGCACACACATGGGGAGGAACAGAAAGATTTGCCTGCTCTGTAAAGCACCTGAATCAGCAGACCACCTAAGGAGGAAGGGAGAGAGGCAAGAACAGTGATACCTGGGCAAAGCAGGAGCCTGGTACGGGGAGACAAGGAGACAGACACATATGGGGCAAAGCCTCGATTCTGGGAACAGAATGGGCTTCTTGTTCCTGCTGGGAAAAAGAAAAAATAAAGGTTTACTCGAGAGGCTGCCAATGATGCTGTAGAGGAAATTAAGTGAGCCTCTTTGAGAACAGCTTCAGCTGAGTGGAGAGGACAGAAAACAGACTATCAGGAATTAAAAGGAGGCAGAGAGCAGAGTGCTCACCCATCAATTGCAAAAGCAAATGAGACAGAAGACAGTCTTGGCCAAATGAAGCATCAGTGGGGACTGAAGCAATGTGAGAAGCAACAGCAACACTAGCAAGGGCTGCTTATCACAGGCCTGCAAAACTGAGAGTAACAAAGAGGAAGCAAGACAGGGATCAGGCCAGGAATAAAGAGGGAAATGAAAAAGGGAAATGAAATGCGTCATAGTAAGAGATACAGCAGAAGTATCAGTGCTCACAGCGAAGTTTTATGTCAATAACCTGCAGCAGTGCCGATAGCTTCCAAGAAAAGGTATTGGCACTTTTATTTAGTGGCTCTTCTGACTTCCCTCTGTTTAAACTCTCGGCATTGCACAAGCATATATAGTTATATTTCCTGGCCCTGCCCTTCTCATATCCTCTTTTCTCGAAGATTGCCTGCTTTCCTTCTAACAAAACCTGTGCCTGTTCAATTTCCAGTGCCGCAAGTCCTCTGGCAGCGAAGAATATTCTGTTTTACTGGTAGCACCAACATTTATCACAAAAAGGTCTTACTCAATGTAAATGCTGTGTATAGACGGGCTGAAGGGTCTTAAAGAGTAGCTAAAAAGAATTCCACATTTGGGTAAACTTAATAATTAACTCCTTATTGAGCTCGCTGCTCCCAAGGAGATTGTGTAGGAAGAAGCAGCAAAGCCAATACAAGGAACAAATTAATTAGGAGCTGTCCTCCTAAGCAGCTAATTTAAGACCAGACAAGTGTATTTCTAAAGACCTGAAAAACTCAGTCAATAGAAGGTTTCTTCTGTAGTTATCAAAACGACTATTCTGTAGTATTCAAAGTGTGGTTACTCTTAGGAGATGGCTCTATGAAAATAGTGCCCCCTCTCACAAGAAAATCTGAGCCCTTTGAGTCTTCAAGTCAGCTTTGTCTCCTGAGAAAAGCTGTCCTGCAGTGCTCACCATCCCAGTGCAGGGTCGTTACAGCAAAGGGAGAACTGGAGATCCTAGCATGCTTTTTCATTAATTGCTGTAATCTTGACTCAGTCAGGCCAGTCCAAACTCAAGTACTTGCTACCACTGGGAGAAACAGAAAACAGACTGCTTATCCACATCTTATTTCATCCGTGCCATAACGTTTTTGAACATAGCAAATACACAAGAACTTATTTCCACACAGCGTTAATTTCAGAGTTGTTTCTGACTGAAACCTCAACTTTAAAAGAAGCTTAACTCTTTTATGCGGTACGAGAACAGTAAAAACGTGCAGATATTAGAAGCAAATGGGCACGAATACTACATGGGAAGTCATGACAAGAAGTGATGTAATTCATTTATTTCCCAGAGGTAAGAAAAAACACCCTTTATTTTTATAGCACAAATTGTGCATTTCTTGAGGTTGCAGAGAGTCCCTGTACTGATCTTAAAATGATAACCTGTATCCATGAGTTAAAACCCATTAATCATACTCCCATTTACAACTATCATAATCGATGCTACAGAATATCAATACGTGTGCTGGGAGCCATACATCAACATCACACTAGTGTAAATCCATTACAATTCTTGTGGTTTTGGGGTCACTGAGATCAGCACCTTTCAGTGATTTCCCCCCCTCTTTACGCTTTGACTCTTAGCGTAAGCTTTTATTGCCCCTTCTAGTTGTTTGAAGAGCAACAGGTAATAAAGAACACGTAAGAAATAATTTCTAACTCCATCTGGTAACCTGACAAGCTTTTGCTTAAAAGGCGGAGGCTTTTAAAGAAATATTTATATCCTTCTTGAGTTTTGCTGCTGCCTTTCCCAATACTACACTTTTAAACAAGTGGAGCTTTACCTGCCAGGCTTGGAGTCCCTGGTACCAAGTCCTTGCCAAAAAAGATGCTATGGGGCTCCCTGATAACTCCTTTATGGCATGTTTCAGGAAAAGATTTAATAAACAAGAAGGAGCCACGATTTGGCAGGACACTGTGGATGCTCCGACATCAAGGTGCGGGCGCGGCAGACCCCCCCACACCCTCCTGCGAGCAGCTCCCACCTCCCCCGCTCGTTTTTTCGCTTATTTTTGCCTCAATTGGGCAAAACAGCGAGGCCTAAACGACTCCCGTGTGAGTCAGCGGGACTCACAGCCCTTCGGGCAGCACTGCGGCAAGCAAAATGCTTTCTACTTATCCCCCCCCCCTCCCCTCCGCCGCCCCCCATCGCCCGCCGCGACATGGCGGCCGCCCCCACAGGGGGCGCGGGGAGGGAGCGATGCCGCCGGCGGCGCCGAGCCCCCTTTCCCCTCTCCGTCCCCTGCACTCACCGCGGCGAGCCGGGACGGAGGGCAGGCAGGGAGGAGCGGTGCTTCCCCCGCCCCCGGCCCGCCTGAGGCGGCTCCCGCCCCGCACACGGTGCCCCCTCCCCGGCCAGAAGCGGCTCCTCCCCGCACGGCCATGGCCGGAGGCTGCTTCTCCCTCAGAGCCATCGCTGTGCGTCCCCCTGGCTCCTCAGGGAGGGAGGAGGCTTTCGCCGTCCCCCTGAGTTCCCCCTTTTCCTCAGCAGCAGGCATAAAGTATCCCTCCTAACTCCCTCCAGGTGTTTACTTTCCCTTTGCTTCTTGCAACAGTAAAATACCCCCTCAAAAGTGCCCAAGGAGCCTGGTGAGGACACAGTAAAACAAGTGGTTGTGGCATCGAGGAGCTGAGCTTCACACACTCTTACCTCTTAATACTGCACTTTCACTTATTAAAAGTGCAAAGAGAATGAAATTGTGAGGTACAGTTCCACATCATCAGCTCCAGCTTATGTAAGTGACACATTCTTGAAGCACGCATTGAATAGGCACGGGAGAGGTTTGGTAATTGCAATTTTATTTACTCCAATCTCAGATCAGACAGTGCTAATACAGAAAGTATCATGTTTTGCTTTAGAGTTGTGGTGCCCAACTCCAGGAACAGTCATATGACATCAGGACAGTAACTATAGATCCCTGGCAGAAGTTTACAGAAGACAAAATATGCAGAGAAGACATGGTAAGTTTATTACTTTCTCATTTCTCCATCTAAGCAGTCACACAGTGACACTGGATATACCTTACAGTACAGAAAATAAATCAAAGTTCAGTTGTTTCACATGTTCCAGGTTGTCTGTTTTTCCCTGTCCCCAAAGACTAACTATAGGGGTTGCCAAGTACCGTAAAGATTGGTAAGTACTGTAAACCTTACAAGTGCTTCCAGTTTTGTAGGAAATTGTCACAACTGTGGAAAAAAAGGCCGAGTCTGTTAATCTGTGATTTAACACACAAAACGTGCTAAGATGAATTCACAGAAGTCTTGCTGATTTTTCTGGACTTTAGACCAAATCCTAGAAAAGTACCAAGACAGTTAAAGTAATTTTTAAAACCTCAAGTATCTAAAATGTTTTCTTTAAAATCTGCTGGTTGTACTTCACTAGCACACCTATGCTGATTATCAGCTATAGAAAGAGGGAGGCTGTTCCACTTTGAAAAAGTTTCTCTACTGAATGCAATCTTCAGGCCTGCGTTGCCTTTCAGGCTAACACTTAAAAACATGGAGCTAGTTAATAGAAGAGGAATATTTTTACCTATGTAAATGGGAACTCCACAGCTTCAGACAGGTTGGGCTTTAAGACCATTACAAGCAGCAGCAAAGAAAAAAGTTTAGTACTGCTTTATAGTAAGTCTTTGAAATTCTTGGTAACTTAAGAACAAAGGGCCTGATCCTGCAGCCCTTATTCCGTAGAAGGTAACAGATGCCAAAACCTAGGAAGATGACCTTTTTCTTTTAAAAAAGTCTGTAAACAGGACATGTAGCGTAAGTTTGTGTGCAGAGCTCCATGAGAGTTACAGAAAGATAATTTACAAGTCTGCAAAAGGTTCAGTGTGTACTTAAGCTATACATACAAAGCAAAGAAGTTATCAATGTCAGTTTGTCTTCAGATGGCAAATTATGTCTAACAGCTTCCTGTAGATGCACAGCAAACTCAGATTTTATTGATAAACAAAGAAACCGCTGATCAGCACAGTGAGGAGAAGGATCCAAATCAAGGTGAATGGCCAAGCAAGTGCAGAGGTGTTCTATGCAAAATTTGCTTTACTTGCTTTAACAGCAGCTTCAATTTCTTCAAAGATTGGCACTGGTCCTGCATAGTTATTAGTTTCAATAGCTTCTAATTTCTTTTGATACTCAGTTGGCAAGCCGTTCTGTTTTGCACCCATGCAGATAACCTATAGTCAAAAGGGGAAAAAAAAAAAAAAAGAGTCAATAATAATGTTAGGAGGGATAGATCCCTCCAAACATTTAGTCATACAGAAAGGACCAAGAGAAAAACAGGTACCACCAAGGGAGACCCCTAAGATTTTGAAATGCTGCCAATGTGCCCAAGACACAATTAACTTGCTAATTCAGTCATTCGGATCAAATCCAAAGCACAACAGTGAATACCTAAACAGGTTATAGGAGTAACAGAAACAGATACTTAGCTTAGTGAAAACAGATTCCTTAGAGTTTGTTGCTGCAGCTTTCCTTCTACATACCCCAAACCCTCAAGTTTTAGTGCAAGAGAACTTAAGTGACAGGGAGAGGAAAAGAGGAGGCTGTAGGAGCCAAGGCTTGAAAGAGGCACTAGCAAGTTGCCAAATAGAAACGAAGAAAGATAAATACAGAGACTTTAAAAGCTGACACCAGTGTAAATATTCTTTCACACATTCAACAACCAGGAAATCCAAGGATGTGGTGTTTGGAGGGGATAAACTTTGCCACAAAAAGTACCTTGCAGTAGATGGATGTAGCTCATTGTGTACAGATACCTGTACTAAATTTTTAGACCTCTTGTCTGGTTAACTTAGGTTAAACAAATAACCCAGGGCAGGGTGGGGGGAGAAAAAGAGAACTACAAACCAACGCTGACAACAGCAGGAGAGAATGTTTAACTAGATAAAGTTGCCAATATTGGAAGTCTGCTCTCACGGCATCCTAGTGAGAGCTCACACGCAGCAGCAGTTTCCACATACTAATTCCTTGAAAAACCCTAAAGATCTGTTTTGACAGGAAGCAGCAAAGCTTGCTTTCTAAGCAAGCTTTCTCTTAAGAAATCCTGCAGCAGCAGGCCTTCGCTATGCTCCTGGAAGCTGATTTGTGGGAGCTGAGAGAGGAACGTGGGATTTCACAGGCTCAAGTCCTGTTTCTTTGCTTTTGGTCAACGTGTTACAGCGATGTCTGCCTGCAGCTGCTAGTAACTGCACAATTCACAGTTCCAGACACGCAGCCATGCCACCTGAGGCTAGTCCTGCATCAGATCTCACAGGCTAAGCAGGTCAGGCCTGCTCCGTGACTGGGCCGTGTGTCTCTACAGAGTCAGTGAGTTGCAGAACGGTGTTGAAACACTTCTGCCTCCCCAGCTGTCAAGTGAGAACCCTGCAGTGCCTTACAGTGGTGCTAGAGATCTTGTGAATCTACTGATCTGGTAAAAAGAGGCAGGTGGACTTGTGCATTAGAAGATAGTAAGATAATTTATAAGGCAATAGGAATAACCCGTGTCCTTGGGACTACAAGCCAGGTGCTTTATTCTCCCCACAGAAGCTTCCCTCTGTCCTTTCAGTGGAGTGCATTAATTTTTCATTCCTAAATAGAGAATTGCTGCATGTATGGAAAGGAGCTGGCTTCCTTCAGAAATCCTGGTGTCAGTCGTAACTAATTCATGAGTTAAACAGAGGCTTCATGTAAAGCAGAACATAAAACTGATTTAGTCGATCTTTAAGAGCTGGCAGTCCTCAGTAAGCATCGTTACACTAGTAGATTGCACAAGGATGAAGTTACACCTTTACATTAGAATTACTCATGCCTTTTATCTACCGAAAATAAGGTCCTTGTTAAACAGGCCAGAAGTACTGCATTACGTGTTTCTGTTCATTCTCTCCAGACGCAACACCTACCTTTTTATACTGTGGAGAAGGGGGACCACGGACGTAGTCCCTCATCTGGTAGCTTCGACAGGTCAGAACCTTTCCTGCTGGAGTGTGGACGTTAATTTCTATTGGGACATAAATTCCATCTGCAACTCCCTCTTGCCTGCAAAGGACATATATTCCTTTCACGGTCAATAATTGAAGCATGGGTAAAAGGCATCTTACGTCTTTCAAACAAACTGTGCAATTAAACCTATGCATTTAACATAAAAGAATTCAGAGCAGAACACTCATCTTCATGGTTAAATGACTTAGAGAAAAATAATTAAAGCAAAACATATTCCGGTATTTTTTGTGCTAACTGCTTTCACATCCAAAAATAAGCTTCTAAAAGTCAATGCTGCTCCCTAGTCATCATTTTAACAATGTAAGAAAGATGACCAGCAGATAACTTGTGAGATTAGAGAGTATTGCTTGTGATTCAGGTACTGTGCAAGTCTTGTAATCCACAAGAGAAATCCAACCAAGATTATCAGAATTAATAAATACTCCTGTGTGGAGCCAGGAGTTGGTCTCGATGATCCTTGTGGAATCCTTCCAGCTTGGGATAGCCTATGATTCTACTATCATTACAAAAGGAAAAAACAAAAGCAAAATGAAAAAATAAACAAAAAAACAAACACTAAATTAGCGTTTGCTTGAAAACAAGGCACTTTTAATCTCAAATATTTTAGAAGCCAATAAATGCACTATAGAGTGAAATTCACATATTAAAATCCAGTGTCTTCTTGATCCCAGCAAAAGCTTCCACCCTGCTTTTTACAAAAATCAAGCAAACAAACAACACTACTACTTTT